ATGTCTAGGATGATGACAATGCAAATCTTTGTACCTTGCATCTTCTTTGTCTGTCATAACTGAGAGTTGGACTGATATGTGTTAATAGATTTGGACTATTGCTTCCTACAAAGACTCTGCTTATATACCATATTCCCTGTCATACAATATAACTTTGCCATCACCTCTTCCACAATCACTCTCTGTATAGAACTTTGTTGATGGAAAATACAATAGGTGGAGAAACAGTACTTCTGTAGTTAATGTGGCACAAAATTTCTATTTTGTATTACTATTTTTTAGAGTGTTAATATTTCTCAATGTCTCTAGTACTCTGTCAGGAAAAAGGTACCAGTCATTTTTAATCTTATATGAGTATATAATATGTAAAATATCAATAATATGTAAAACATCATATACTGCTTTCCCTTGGCTGAAAATGTTATCTAAAATACAATAAGGTTAAATAAGTCAGATTAATATTATGGAAAGTAATAAGAATTATATGTTATTATAATATAAGTGTAAGATAAATACATATTATAAAGATGTATAAGAGCTTATACTGCTTTCCCTAAACTGATAAGATACTATTTTACTTGTTACTTTCTATAAGTCAAATAACATATTATATGACATTATAAGCTATTTACAGTTTTATCTAATATTTTAATTCATTATAATATAATATAAATATACTAAATAATATATATATATTTGTAGCTAATACACACAAAAACTACATATTAACAAAAGAGAACTACTTATGCTCAAGACTACACCTCCTTGTACCTTTCTTCTACTGCTTTGTAAGATTGTCCTAGTATTTACATTCCTCCACAGAAAGCAAATGTGATTGATTTGAGATTGTCTTGGATAGGTTGGCTTGATGTTGACATTGTGTAACAGGATTGCCTTTTGTGATAACTACAGCCACTGCCTTGTTCTTTTGTAAACAACATTTGTAACACAAAGGAGGAATGTATTGTAGGCTAAACAATGTAGTCTTTGTCACTACACTTGGGTTGTCACTCAGCCCTATAAGTTGAATTGTGTGTGTATACAGTAAGTATTGTAAGGTTTCACAGATTGTAGAGGTTGCACTTGTGAGACAGGTTGGGAGGACAACTTGCTAGGAGGGGGATTGTTAGAGTATGCAGATACTTGAAGAGAAGAGATAGATGCACTACAACTGTGTAGCAAGGAAGAGAGGTGTACCAGGGTTGAGATCTACAGTGTTGAACAAGCTGATTTGAGCTGTAGGCAAAGTTGTATCTGTGTGTGTGCATTGTATGCTCTGACTATGTCTCAAAAAGGGAGGTGTAGTGAACTGAGTTGTTACTACAGATGACTGCAAAGGTGTATCTCTTGGATGTCTGGCTCAAAGGGAGAGTGTGAAGTGGAAGGTGTGGACAGACTTGGCTTAAGAGGGGTGAGTGGTAGGCTACTGTTTCTGTGATTCATGGACAGCACTTGGGAATTTGAATGTACACAGTGTGGGCCTATCAAGAGTAATGTCAAGCATGGAATGATAGGTGGGGAAGGAGAGTGTATATAGGGTCAGAGAGGGGATTGCACCTTGGGAGTAGTTGTACATGAACATTGTTGTGAGTGTGTGCTCATCAATTGTTACTTGTACTACAGAGTAGGAAGACATACATGAATTACTGAAGACATTGTTTAGCATTGGTCAACAATACAGTATGCACAAATGCAAATGCAAAAAGGAAGACAAAGGAGAAAAGGCAGACAACAAAGGAGAGACAGTACAAGAATACAAGGGTAGCAGAGGGAGACAAGAAGTTGGGATGAGAGGGAAGAGCAACTATTGTGTAGGTTATTATGAAGGAAGTGGACTGGCTACTTACACTTTATGTTGAAGGACAGAGTAGTCAGCTGGGTAGTATTGACACAGGATCTGAGACTCAGTACAGGCATTGTAACAACAGATTGAAGAGGAAAGTACAGAGCCAGAGTGTGCTGGAGGACACTTGTGAGTGAGTTGACTGAACTAGAGAGTAGAGAGAACAAAAGCAACAACATAGTAGCAGGGCAGAGAGATATGGGAGATGAGGGTCAGAGGCAAGGAGTGAAATGCAATGTGTATTATAAATGTTTTAAGTACAAAATTTCATGTGATACTCAAGCATTACATAAGTTGAGTTGTATTTACTAATAGTTCCTTTATGAAAAATAATCATTATAATAATAATTAAGATATTTATTAAGCTTGTAATCTTACAAAAAGAACTCCTACTTATTATAAACATTTATAAAACTTTCATACAGATTATAAGTATAGAAAATGTCTTATTATTATATTATATAATAGATATAAGTCTTTCTCTTCAAATATAATACTATTATAATACTTTTACTCTTTATATAAGACTATTAAAATATATTTACCATATTATATTAATGAATAATACTGATAGAGCCTTTATAAGAACATATAAGACTGATTTTTACCTTATAATAGAGTTAAATACAGATAATTACTATATATTCTATATATTAAACATATTGCACTTTATAATAACTATAAGATTATATATAGATTTTGACTTTTTCCTAACATCTATGACTATCATTATATGCTTGAATGAAACTTAACATCCAAAATTGATTCTTGAGTACTTTATACTTATTAACACAGGCACTTGTTGCCACTACTGCCACAAAGCTAATACTTGTTTGTGAAGATTGTGACTTGCAATAGATACCTTTCCTCTCTAACAAAATGCTTAGCAACTATCATGAAAAAGTTGCAACAAATGTAATTAATAATAGCAAATGTAATGTAATAATGTACTTATATATCAATTACAATTCAAAATTATAATTATACTTTACTTGTAATTGAAATGTAACAACTGTATATAAATGTAATACTTATACAAGAATTGTATTATACTACAATTGTTTTTGAAGCAAGTAATGTTACTACCAGTATTACTACAATATTATATGTGAGACACAAGTACTTAACTTTTATTGTAATATGTTAAAATTGTATATAAATTAATATACAATAGTAGTTGATTAATTATAATACTTATAAAAGTGATACATTATACTTGTAAGTTGATTATAGTACTTTTAGTAAGATAATATGCAATTATATATATTAATATTGTTAACAATCAGTCTGTTAGACTTATAATATAAACTGGTTTTTGTTACAGTTCTCTACTCTTGCACCTTCAGTTCTAAAGGTTCTGCACCCTTCTGTACTAGAACTCAGGACTTCTGTCCCTTAGGAGTACTGTCTATAGACTATATGTAGGCTGACTCTTACTACTACCTCTCCTTACTTTATCATTCTATTCCTTTGACTACTCCTTCATTCCTTGTTCATTCTATAGTCTCTCACCCTTTGTCCATCCCTTCATTCTTTGTACCTTTATCTTTGACCTTCCTTTCTTTCATTCTTTGTGGCTCATCATTCTTTGTGGCTCATATTCCCTGAGTACTCTTGTATAGTTTAGTATATATAAGTGTATAAGATCAGACTAGTCCTATAGTCTTGATCTTGTCTACTCTAAATAGTCCTGTACTCTTAGGCTCACTCTATATACTCTACTCTTGT